GCAGCCAGCATTGCCGGAGCTGCTGGTCTTCTTGGTCTCGCCGTCGCCTTGTAAATAGGCTTTTCGCTTCTTGTTTCCTCTTTTTTTTTTTTTTTTCTTCATATATAAATTTACTTTTCAAGACCGAGTTTTGGCTTCTGGAGTTGGTCGTCCAGCCTGTTGTATTATAAGTTGGGATGCCTGGCATGTCTTCTAATATGAATATACCACCTTTTCACTTCGTCACGTATATATCGTTTCTCCATCTTCTTCCCCATGATTTTCCCCTTCCCCCTGCGCTATAATTCCCCCCTTTATATGCATGTTCTTCATGCCAAGACAAGGAATTTTTTCCGGTCAGGGGTATCACGTGAACTGCGCTTTCTGCCTTTCCCGCGCGCCGAAGAGTGCAAAGCCGCCCACAAATAAAAACCGGCAAAGTTTTTGTTTCTTCGTTTTTCTTCTTCGTCAACATCAACATCAGCGCAGCAACAGCAACTGCTGATCATTTCTTTTCATTTCTCTTACAAGGCCGATTGGCTTGTTTCGAGGTTAATGATGGGTAAGCCGTTCTATGCTCCTTTGCATGCACTGTTCTCCCGTGCAGGCTTTACCCTGATGAACAAAAATTTCCTCTTGAACAATCCAAATCCGACAATTCATGACGGATACACTTGGTGTCCATCCTCTGATACAAGTTGTCATGGGAGATGTGCTTGCACTCTATCGTACTGCAATTGAGTGCTAACATGTCGTCCTTAGAGCTTTTGCTACCGTCTTACCTTGGAATCCATGCTATTCAATGGATTATTCAAAAGGTGTGTATTAACTGATTACTTCTTGCTACTTCCCGCGCAACACCCCCCTTTATGATGACACTATGACATGCAAAGGCATTCCTCAAGCTTAACCAATAATGTGGAATTTTGTCAGCTTCTAAGTTTCAGCCTTGTCTGATTTTACTCACCTTTATACATACATCTACTTCGATTCTTCAGTCAATCAGTTTCTAACAAGTCTCGAATAGGTACGCTATTCACACATCTACACATGCCCCAAAAAACAATACACCTTGCATGAGGAACATTTGAACGAACGGGCGGACAGATCGCGTCTTTTCATCGCTATCCACTACAACAGGACGTACAAACCTGTTGGGTAGTTGATGGTTAGATTGCTTGTTGAGATTTCGTCACCTGACTATATGCTACACACCTGCTTAATACCATCTTCTCCTGTCACTGCGGCAGTTCAATGGCTGGAAATGAATGCTAACGTCGTTGCCGTTGATCAGGTATATATATATATCTTTTTCTGTTTCATTAGTTGCGTTACTGGATACATCTCTTCCATGATGAACATTATTCACACTGTTTGATATGTGCATTAAACCGCCAGAGGTGAAACTTCTTACACTGAAAATTCTGATTTAATGAGGTATGTCTGCCATAACTTGCGCTCGAGGTATACTTGCAGTGACGCTGACTGATGGGCGGGAAGCCTGATGATAGATGACTCCATTTTGTCTTTTCCAAGCATATATTTCTTGATCATGACGGTGTCGACAAGTACTAATGTGACCTTGTGGGATAGGTTTGATATCACATCGTAGACGTATACTGTATTTCACACAGGTTAGTCTTCTTTTTGCAGTCCGCCTCCCATCCCACACTTGACATTTGCCTGATGAAACAATGATTTTTCGCTGTGTTCTTTCCGAGTCTTACTTTGACGATAACACATCACCTTGGAGACCTGACCCTTGCACGAAACACCGCTTTAAACCATCCATTGACTCTTCGGTGTTCACTGCTAACTAGGGTATACTAGACATCATACTCGACACAATAGATAGTTAATAGCATTCAATATGACTACCTCTTTTTACTTGCACAAATATTAAAAAGCTTCCACTCTCGTCTACTCAACGTACTTCCCGTTCTTCCTATGCCAGTCTTCCAAGCTATCTCCATACGTCTTATGCACGACCTTCTTCCCCTCCGGCCACCGCGCCCACTTCGGCTTGGAGTCAGCTAGTATGCACACCATCTCCTCTGGGTCAGGCAGCTCTGTATCAATGGCCGACGCAAACGGATGGATCAGCTCCGGCCAGCTCTTATCATATACCCAGAGCATGGTGCTGCAGTTTGAGCAGAAGCTTCGTTCGGAGCTGCACTTTTCCTCCGTCGGCTTGCCTCTGTCTTTGATGGCGTTGTATTTTCTATCGTCGTTAGCAGTAAGCCTTTAATATAGTGAGGGAGAGTGATATACTTGATTAGGTCTTTCCCCTTGGCGATGTTGAGAGAGCTGCTGATGCCGCCCAGGTTGACGCTGCCCATGTATCCGCCTACTTTGCGACAAATGCTGCATGCACACAGCTGGTATGGGACAGGCGTGTTGGAGTCGAGGGAGAACTCGACGCCGCCGCATTGGCAGCTTCCTTCAAGTTTCCTTCATCAATGCTCAGTTAGTATGTATCTTTGTATCCTTGTATTGTTGATAGGAGAGCTGCTGTACGAACATTGGCATCTTGGTTGGTCTGCGGGTAGAAGTAGATGTGTGTTGCTGGTATCTTGTTAGTGTCGAGTAGAGTAAACTGTTGACTGAGCGAGCAGGAGAGCAGTGACTCTTTATATGCCTGTTCAAGCACCTCAGAGACAAGGATACATTCATCTACGGCTATATTTCTTTTCCATGTTAATCATGCCGTCTCTTCTACTCTGTCCATCCTATTCTCGCCTCATGTTTGCTCCAGACGTCATTTTTGCATGGTTTGGCCTGTTTGCATCGATGGTCAGCTTTGCGTTGTTTGCACCGTTTGCACCTGTCTTTCTTCCCGTCGAGAAGAAGAAGAAGCGAAGTCGAAGTCGAAGCCATCCCAGCGAAACAGCCAGACGAAAGGAGACGTTTGGATCCGCCAGTTGAGCAATAAGAGAGTGTCAAGATGAGTTTCGGAAGCCCTGGCGGCCGCGCAGTTAACATCAAGCCTACTCCGTGCGTCACCCAATTCTGACCTGACCGTTTGATTCTAACTGCAATTCGACTAACTGATGCCGAGGGCTCAAACAGACCGGAGCGAGGCAGCTTCCCACTCGACCACGACGGTAGATCTCCTTACTCCATATACTGATTGGCATTGCATTGATTACGGGGCTGTTACTGACCGCGGCGCAGGAGAATGCAAGTCGATAATAGCAGGGTACTTGCAATGTCTGAAGTCAGCGCGCGGCGTCAACGATGAAGCTTGTCGAAAACTCGCAAAGAGCTATCTAAGCTGCCGAATGGAGAAGTGCGTATCTACCTACTACACTTTCTAGATATACGTCGATTGTGGTGCTGGTGGACTGACGGGGACAGGAACCTGATGGCGCCGGACGAATTCAAGAATCTCGGGCTGGTATTTGACGACGACAAGCCGGGAGAGACCAAGACGAGCAACGCGCAGACAGAACCGGACAAACCGCCGTTAAGCAGTAAGAAGTGATTGGTGAAAGGGGGGGAGAGCTGGCGAGAACAGCCATTGGTTAGGCGTTGGATGTGTGATACGACTGCATATGTATTAATTAGTTAAGGCACGCACTGCATTGCGGCTGATGCATCAGCTAGTTACCTAGCTGCTGCCAGCTAGCTACTACGACTACAGCTACGACTTCGGCGTTTGGATTTACAGTACTGTATATATACGAAAGAGACTCCCACTTCTATCAAGTTCAAAGCGTACGGAATAAACGTTCAAGTCCAGGCCAAGCTCAAGCTCAACCTTAGTCAATTAAGTTAAATATACCCCGGATAAGAAGAAGCTAAGTTAATAGCCATGCGGTACCGGCGACGAGTGTACATCCCACCGACCACCATCAGCATCGCCGACTCGATGTCGTCCGTCATCCGGCCGCCAGACCCATGCCTGATCGCGATTGCGCTGGTGGTTCGATCTCGCGCCGGCCCGCGGTTCGTCTACCACTACCCTCCCAACCCGACGCTCGCCGAGTCCCCCTCCACCTCCCCGAATAAATACGACGGCCAGCAGCAGCCCAAGGACGAGCAGGAGCATGAACAGGCTGATCTGGACCAGGAGGTCAAGGGGACTGATTCGGGAGCATCGGTGGACGAGGAAGGGGTGACGTCGGAGGAGGAGGAGTCGAGCGTTGTTGATCGAGGAGAGCGGGAGAAGGAGAGAGACCGCCGCTCGCCGAGTCGGCAGCACTCGCAGCACTCGCAGCAGTCACAGTCACAGTCACAGTCGCATGTGAGGAAGAAAGTAGCTATACAGGGCCAGGGAGCTCCGGGCGAAGAAGGGGCGGAAGAGAAGAAAGGCGAAGGGAGCAGTTTACAGGCGGATTCGTTCCTGGGGCTGGGCTACGGGGTGTGGGAGAAGTTGCTTTCGCCGTCGCCTGCGTGGCACAAGCGGCGGTTTGAAGTTGGCGTGAACGACCTGACGTTTGTGGGCTGGCCTGTATTTGTGCGCAAGGACGGGACATGGCGGAAGCGCAGGAAGAAGCGGAAGAGCGAGAAGAAGACGAAGCGAGAGGAAGACGAGAAGGAGAAGGAGAAAGTGAAGAAGAGCGCTGGCGTGTCTGGTCTTGGAGCCGGGCTGGTAGGAGGAGATGCAAATATACCCCTGACAGACACCGAGGATGGCGAGGACGGAGGTGACGAACGGGAGGAAGATGGAGAAGAAGAAGAAGAAGAAGACGGGGAGGACTGCTCTGATGACGAACAGCTTACGATCAAGGACGGGATGACGATGTTCAATGTGGTGTTTGTGCTGAACCCGCCGGCACTGGAGTACAATGTGCGGGTGCGAGAGATGTACGACAATGTGGTGAAGAAGTTCGGCAAGGCGCTGAAGAGCGAGCAGGCGCGGGCAAATTACGTCTGGAAAGAAGCCCAGAACATCCTGCGCATCAAAGAGAAGTGTCGCGAGGAGAGTACGTCTTCTCTACAATACAACAGTCCTAAGTTTTTATGCTAATAAATGGTGGTAGGAACCTCGCTGTCCGGGCTGTATACCGCGCTGTCCGCCAAATCCAGTCTGGCCCAGGCCATGGAGACATTATACACCAACATCAGCGCCTCCAAGATCGCGTCTGTCAGCCTGGGCCCGCAGACCAGCATGTCGATGCAGATACCACCGATGACATCAACGCCCCATCTCCCGTCGCCCAACGAACCAGGCTACCCGGGTCTCTGGCTGACGACCGCCGACAGCGTCTCCTCGACCGACGAGACAGCCCACATGACCAACCCAGGCCAGTCGCAGGTAATGCTAGCCAAACACTTTGCCCTGTTGCTGCTCAGCGACGAGACAAGTATCCTCAAGGACATCGAGGCGTCGAAAAGCACCATCGGCCCCCCCTTAGCACACTACATCCGCTCCAGCAAGCCTACCAAGTCATTTGCACAGATCTCAGCACGCTCGCACATCCCGCTGGCCGATATCCAGATTCTAGCCAGCCATCTGGTGTACTGGCGGCGGGCACGAGCTATCCCACCGCTGAACAAGAAGGATGTGTATATTGTCTCGCCGAACGCGGATATGAGTAAGTTGGGCGTGGCGAGCGCGGCGTATGAAGGGATGTTTCCTACCCTGCCTAGCCTGCCGAAGATGCTGTCTGCTCTGAGCGCGGGCAGCCCCAGGCCGTATTTCAGTTATATCCCGAGCAAGGACCACAAGGAGGCGTATTATGATATTCTGGCGTGGTTGGTGCGAGGCGGGTGGGTGACGCAGTTACGGACGTTTGGGTGGGTGAAGGTGAGTCCGGAGGTGAAGATGGCGGTCCAAAACCAGCCCGTCAATGGACATCAAGGCCATCAAGATGAAGATGAAGAAGAAGGTCTAGCTACCCCTGTGCCTGTGTCTAGGCCTACGACTAAAACATCGATATCAACGTCTACGGCGTCTCTGATCCTGCGGCCTCACCGGGCCTCACCCCTCGAGTCCCGCTGGCTCGACCACATCCATAAATCGTTCCCCTTAGCACAAGAAGAAGAAGAAGATGACGATGAAGAAGAAAGCGAAGAGAAAGAGGAGGAAGAAGAAGAAGATGTGTATGCTGCCCTGCGACGCCACTGGCCGATGCTGACACGCTACTTTACCGGCCTGGATGCCCTGCAGAAGATCAGTGTGCGAGAAGGCCTGCCGCACCGACTGGTCTGGCGGATGCTGAACCTGCTGGACGTGAATTCCGGTGTCCTTGGGGGAGGAGGAGGAGCTGCAGGAGAGGCCGACGGGGTGTGGGATGAGCGGGAAAAGGTGCTTGTTACTGTCCGGCATTGGTAAGACTGACTACTAACTATGGCTGTCTGGACCATGGCTGTGATGTAACTATGGAGTGTATGTATGTATGATACCAATGGTAATGTCTCGAGTCTGGGTTCGTATTCCTGTGGTTTTGATATCAAAGTGACCTCAGTGGCCATCGCAGTCTTTGCTGTCTCCATCTCTTATTCTTCTTCTTCTTCTTCTTATAATCATCAGCAGTTCCAGGTTTAGCCGTGGTCACGTGGAGGAGAAGCGAGAGAAGAAGAAGAAGAAGAAGAGAAGAAGAAGAGAGATAGTGGACAGAGAGAGAGAGAGAGAAGACAGTAAAAGACAGTAAGACAGTAAGAGAGAGACAGTAGACAGCCGGTGTAAGTGGAAGCATTGGTGAGAGACAGAGAGAGGGCAAGCAGTAGGAGAGTAAGTAGGAGAGTCTCTACTCTTACTAGTTATTGCTGTGTCTCTCGGTCCTCGGCAGGAGGAGAGAAGGAGAGAGAGAGAGAGAGAGAGAGAGAGAGAAAGAAGAGACACCTCGACTTCATCTCTAGATCTCAATCACTATCTTAATCATCTTCTCAATCATCACCTTCACCTTCATCAATTACTATCTCCATCGTCATCTTCTCTGCCAGCCGAAGAAGCCGGCCAGGTTTTGCCCTAGCTTTAGCTCACCTCAAACTCCTCGCCTTACACTAAATCACTTACTCTCAGCTTCTCTTCTTCTCCTCTCTGTCTCTTACTATCTTCTCTTTTATCTTCTGTCTCTTCTCTCTGTCTATTAATCTACTGTCAGTCTACTGTCAGTCTATCCAAAGTCCTCCTCGGCCATCTTCCCATCCTCGTCTCTCACGTGGTAAGTTCTTCTTCTGCTGCTTCTGATTCTCCGCACTAAAACTTCTTCAGCAGCTTTTTTTTTTTTTTTTTTTTCTTCCTTTTTTTCCCTCTTGACTTTCTCTCTCTCTCTTCCTTTTCTTCCCTTTTTCTTCCCTCTCGCACTTTTTCTTCAACCGCCGCACAACAAATCCAACTCCCAGCATCTTCGCCCATCCTCACCCTCCTCGACAGGCGTCAAGGCTTGCACGTCGCTGTCCTCGTCTTGTTGCTCTCGCCTGGCTTGCGTCCTGCCTGAGCTCGCCGTCAGTGGGCAATTGGCCTCGCGAAGGTACTTTTTTTTTTTTTTTTTTCCTTTTCTCCTGCTGCTCTTCTGTGACCTGGCCTGGATGAGGGGTTGAAGAAGGACAACAAGAGAAGAGATCAGGAAGAGAGAGAGACTATAGCAGAGTATAAGAAAAGAAAGAGATACAAGAGAGAGATATAAGAGACTGACTTGTACAGGCGTTGCCGCTGCAGTCGTTCTTTTCCTTGCCGTGTCGATCTCGCTGGTCCTCTGCGTCGCTACCTATTTATCATCTCTCTCTCTCTCTCGCGGACGGACGACACCGACGCCCTTCTCGTCCTACTTACTTACTCACCAGACGACCAGAGACGGATCTGCTGCTTGTCTGCTGAACGGCCCAAGAATAAAAAAACAAGGTACGACCTGGGTGCGACTCTCGACTCTCTGCCCTCTCGCTGCCGACACGGACGGGACGGAGGGACATCGGATGTCGTCTCTCACTCAGACACACACAAACACATTGATATAAATACTTCTTCAGCGACTCTTTCTGATTCTCTACCTTCTAGCCAGGTAAAAGGCGGGGACTGACTCTGCTTGGTGGTGGTTGACTCCGACCTCCTCTCGTTGCCGTTAGTGGCAGACCTCAAACCACGTCTTGTCCTTCTTCTACGACAAGCCATAAAAAGGGAACATTGATGTTCATGGCAGCCTCTTCGGTCTCTGCCAAAAAGTCCACTCCAGAGATGCCTGTCTTTTCATACGCCCAGGCTGCAAAGGGCCTTGCCTCTGACTCCAACAGCAAGCAGACTCCCACGCCTCCCAGTGTGGAGGAAACTGGCACTACCACTGCCAGTACTAGTACTACGACCATGGTGGATGGAGATGATGCTGGAAAGGCCGTTTCGGCTTCTCCCTCGCTAGGACTGTCGGCTTCGACCGCCTCGACCCTGGTCAAGGAAGACGACCTCTCCACCACCACCCCCAACGGCACCACCACCGCCACCGCCTCAGAGTCAGAGTGGGAGAAGCAGTCCCAGGCTTCCACCGCCGCTGACAACAAGGAGAAGTCGGCTGGCTCGTCTTCGTCAACGGCTCCCCTTGCAGACGATGAGAAGCCCAAGTCAGAGGCCAGCTGGGAGAACACCACCAATACTCAAAAGGAGCACAAGGAACAGCAAAAGGAGCAAAAAGAGCAAAAAGAGCTCAAGGCTGCTCCACCGCCGGCAGTCAACATCTGGCAGCAACGACAGGAGGCCCTGGAGGCCAAGGCAAAGGCCAACGCCCTGAAACCTGCTGCCACCACGACGGCCACTACTACCGCTAGTACTACTACTCCTCCCACTACGACTACCAAGAACACCTCTACTCAGACCCCGTCCGGCGACGTCAGGTCTGAACACTACAAGGGCGGCAGCAGAAAGAAGGCTGATCCCGCAACCTCAGAGAAAAAGAAAGCTACCGACGGTATGTCTCATCTTCCATTTCTTTTACTGATTACACCCTTTACTGACAAATGTATAGGATCGAGGAAAAGTGCTCGGCCGGCTAGACAGGACGCTGAATCCCTCCCTCCAGTCAACGACGCCTCCTCCTGGCCAACCCCACAGACTGCTCAGGGTGAAGACCTGCGCAAGGCCCAGGATCAAGCTGACAAGCCTGAACGGCCCGAAAAGGAGAAGCCTGCTGGCTCCAGAGCCCACGGCAAGGAGAAATGGATGCCCGTCCCATACGTGCCCACGGCCGTCTTCAACACTCCCTTGCCACCTGCTGCCAGGAGAGGCGGCCGCAGTGGTGGTCCCAGAGGCGGCGCGCGTGAAGGTGGCTCCAGAGGCGGTGCCCATGCCGGTGGTGATAGAGCTACTACCACTACTTCGACCTCGAAGCCTTCCTCGGCCGGAGAGCGCGAGAAAGGGGATGCCACAGAGTCTGCTCAAAAGTCTACCACTGCCGCTGATGCAAGCCTGAAAAACGGCGATGTTGCTGCTCCAGCTGAGGCGACCAAGGACAACAGGCCAGTACAGAACAGCATCAACACCGCTGCTACCACTTCTTCCGATCCTACCTCGTCTTCTCAGTCCCCTACTCGTCCTCACCAGTCCAAGTCCTACCACAAGTCCCACGAGGACAGCTCTTCCTCGTACAAGAACGCCCATGCAGACCAGCACGCCTCCAGACAGGCCAATTCCGACTCTCATGCCGGCGGCCACTCCAGATACGCCAACCACGACAGGCGGTTCGACATGGGTGCTCGCTCCGGCGAGTTCTTCAAGGACTACCAGCCCAGAGGAGACAGAGACTTCTCCAAGGACCGCGAGTACTCCCGCGAATACACCCGTGAATCCCGCTCCGAGCGAGGAGGCCGTGGTGGCTACCGCGGCGGTCGAGGCGGCCACTCCAACTACAACAACACCAACAACACTACCTCTACCACCCAAACCTCCTCGGCTTCTGCTTCTTCATCCTACCACTCCGCTCCAATCCCACAGCATCCTTTCCCTTCTTCCAAAACATACAACAACTTCTCCGACCGCCACCGCATCCAGCCCTCTGCCAATGGCACCCAGCAACAGCAGCAACAGCAACAGCCACACTCCTCCACCACTACAAACAACCGTCTGAACATGCGGTCCCCCTCAATGCCTAACCCAGGCATCTTCCCGGCCCCCTA